AAAACCACGTTTCAAAGGCCAAAAAGCAGCAAGTGGGCATCTTTCTATACAGCAGATAAAACAAACCAGCAAGTCTGCCCTGGCTTGTAGGAAGCACAAAATTGTACAACGCGGAAAGGAGGGGAATTTGCCAAACCGAAAGGGAAGACGCCTGCAACGGTCCAACAAATACGAAATGCAGAGGCAGTGCAAATCTGAGCACGAGCAGCATCAAGTCAGGGGAAAGATGCTCCTCATCCAGCTCAGAGGCACCAGCCTGATTTACATTCACGTCTTGAAACCACCGATCTACTGACGTGGGATGAAAAGCAGCGGTTGCAGCAGCGACCTGAACTGGAGAAGACAAAGCTCTCTCTGCTGGAGCTCGCGTACGCTACGGGGAGCGCAACTGCCCGCCTCTCCCCGTCCATCGCGCTTGAAAAACGAGCTCAAGCAGAGGAGAGTTAAATGACTCCGAAAATAAACTCCAAAAGTTATTCATTAAAAAAAAAACCCGTACATGAAGAACATGCAGACAGCTAAGAGTTCATTCCTGCCTCAGACTAACAGCGAGGTGCAATCTGTGGCACGGCAGACCAAACAACGAAGGTGAGACATGTGATAGGCAGCATTTGAAATTAAAATGAAACTCTGCAAAAGCAGAGGCTTTTCGAGGGTGTCCTATTATGTATGTAATAATTAATGAGCCGCTAACATAATGTTATATTACACGAGGGGAACGTGGAGAGCAGGAAGTAGCCATTAAGTCATACGTGGTACAAAGAAATGAGAGATCAGAAAAACACACTTTCCCGTTCAACCACATTCTAAAGATTTCTTTTTTAATCAGACATGTTTCAGATTAAACATTTCTCAGCAGTTATTCAACCACTCGGTACAGTAAATTTCAGTGCATTGTCCAAGCAGAAGTGGAAACGCGTACATATTCAAAGGGCTCTGACAACATCCAATCACAATCCCCCTGTTTCCCAGCATGCACAGCAAACCCCGCAGCTACCGACCCCAAGAATTCGTGGCTTTTGTCTGGTGACATCAGGGAGCGTCAGACGAAGCGCGCCGCCTGGCATTAAAGGGACGCCGCCGACCCGCTGACTCCGGACGTCCCGCTCCCGCGCCGCCCAAGCACTCTTGGGACGAGGTGGAACGTACCCGGGCTTCAAACGCTTCTCGAGAAAAAAGGCACCCAACACGCTTAGTGCGGGGTAACTAAAAAAACCCCATAAAAAACCCCAACCGAGGTGCTGCCGTCACCTGCAGAAACCCTGCCGCTAATTAAATCCCGCTCCAATCGTACGTGCCAACACCTGCGTGCAGCTGCCAAGACGTGGGGGCGTTGCATTAAGAACAGAAGCGCACGCACCTTGCTTCAGAGAGCGCCTTGTCCAAACTGAAACCGGGGCTCGCACACTCAAACGACAGGCAGGGAACGGACACGGCTCTTTAAAATCACTGCACAGCGGCCCTCTAACAACTGCACTCGACGGGAGCCGCGCTCCCTTCCCGGGGCAGGGGAGGGGGAGGTTTGAACCCACCTCTGCACAGGACGGCGGGAGGTGGGGGACTCCACTTGCCCGCAGCGTCAGTGAGAGGCTGCCGACCTGGGTCAGAGGTGGCTGCAAAAGCAGTGCCTCGAGCATCGCTGCCTCTGGACGCGAAGCAGGGCAAAGAGCCGAGCAAAGATGGTTACTCTGTTACGGAAAAATACCGGCTTGCACTCCTATCACACGTGGGCTCTTGCAGCCGGGACTGTAGCTTGGAAAGGGAGAAGGGGGCATTGGACTGGTCTCGCCCTGGGGTTTGCTGAAGTCGCCTCGCTGGCGACTTCTCAAGGACGAGACTTGGCACGTGGTTTATGGCAGCGGAAGCTGGAGCTGGCAGACCGGATGCGCCCCTTTGGTGCACCGTGGAGGGCCACGGCCATCGAGCTGCCGAGAGCGGGACCACGCAAGAGGATCACGTGTGCGAGTGGTGGTGCAAGACTGTTCGGATCCGAACCGGTCAGCTGGACGTAAGGACTGCAGTGCAGTTTGCAGCAAATGTGATGCTTTCCGCCTGCCACGCCACCGTGGTGGCTTGCCCCGGATGGCTGCGCTGGCGGGCCTGCTCCAGGGCTCTGCCGCACCGGGTTACAAGAGCAGCCGAAAGAAGAGCTCTGGGCGACCTGGATTCACTTCTCCTGCCCCGGTCACCTACTTCCTCTGCTGGAGTTAGGGGGAGGCTCCCTTGAAAGGGGAGCTTTCCCCTTTTACAGGTAATTTTAAGGGTTTTCTGAAAAGAGCACTTATCGGGGGCAGATAAAATAAGAGAGATTTTAAAATGCAGCCTCCATTTAAAATGAAATTTTTAAACGGACGTCCTGGTTAAAAAAAAATAATAATAATAATCATCTTACAAGTTAGCAGAATCTGTATCCAAAGACACCCAAACACTTGTGGTACGAGTGACATCTCTGAACTCGTGCGTTGTGATGTTAGTATTACCGACAGTGCTAACGTAACCACCGCTTGGTCTTACCAAAAATAAAGTGTTTAGTTCATCTGAAAAACGGGAGACTGACTCGAGGTTATCCCACACGAGCATCATAAAAATAAAAACCTACAACTGATTATTTACAGAATAAGCAATAAAAATATCAAGTGGGACAACCTGAGCTGCTTCTAGAGTGACATTCAGCTATAATCGGGACCCTGATATGGATAAGACTAGACATCCTTCCTCTTCCCTCCTATTTAATAGTAAAAAAAATATTTACATCTATTTTTTTTTAAAGAGAATTGGTTGACATTATTGCTTTATCCCTCCTATGAATGACATTCGAATGAAACAACTACACTACATGCTGACAGAATATATAATCCCACTTAAAAGAAAGAAAAAAATTAACCTTTTGTTCTAGCTACAAATAATATTGATCTTCCAGACCAGCAGATTATACATACGTATAAGCCAATCAGCTCATCAAAAACACATTTTACAAAACAAAAACAAAGAGAAAAAAAAAAGAAAAAAATCAGTCAAGTTTCCTTTTCCGATATGGCAGTAAACAGGATTTGTTCTCTTCCACGCACTTCATTCTACACAGGAACTACTATTAGTTCACAAGAAAGAAAATGGATTAAAAATGTCATTTTCATAAGCAAATACAAGCCCAGCCTTACACGCCGCGTGCCCCCCGCAACTCCGATCTCCGAGCTGCTGAACGCATCGGCGGACGCGTCGTCTTTGTTCGAGACGAGGGGCCATGCGTATCTCACGTGCAGCGTGTCCTAAATCACGCGTCGCACTCTGGCAAGACCTCCTGAAGTGCTAACTACCCCCGCCCTGGCGCTTGCTTTGGGTGGCTCGAAAGTGACTCTCCTCCCACGCCGGGTAAGACACAGCTTTGTATTTGACTATGAAAGTTAAGCAGCTTTCTCCACAAAAACGGGAAGGCACCATGCACATAGCAGTCGAGGCAGGAAGCAAACAGCAGCAGCACAATGTGTGAATTTTAGGTTCAGATGAGTTAAGGCTTCTGTTAAATTTCTCTCTCTTTTCCTGGTCATAATCAGTATCTGGGGGGAGAAAGAAAACCAGAAGCTGTTGGATTAGCTGCACCGTGACATTGTAAATTCATCAATTAGCCAACCCCACCACCCTCTGGACTGCCAAGATTTTAAATGAGCTGAACCCTCATTTCCGGCACTGCAGATGCAAGCCACTGTACGGTACTGAACTGGAGAAGCCATCAGCTGCCCGGTGACAAACCCACTCCTGCTTCGTTGCGGGAGTCAAAGTTTCATTACAAAATTAGCAGCGCAGTGGTGTTAGTGCTATCCCAGCAGAGCTGCCTGGCAAGAAATTCAGAGCGTCTTCATCTGGACTAGCAAAAACTGCAAAGCAGGAAGGCCAGGCGAGATGTGCATCATCTGTGCAGTCAATTGGGTGGTTTCTCTCTTGGCTAGAAATGTCTATGGCATTTCTCCGGCAGGCTTGCAGAGCTGGTGTCGAGGTGTTTTCTGACCAGGGCTGTCAGCTTTGTGGAGCTCACACACTGCAGGCACATCGCTGGTGCCCGGCCAAGTGCTTCCAGCGAGCGCTTGCCCACGACGGCCCGAGACAACACTGCTCTGGGCAGGGAATACCCACACTGATAAGCTGCCAGGTCCGAAAGAAAGAGCACAGCGCTTCCTTCCTGGGCTAGCAACCCCTCTGGCTGAAAAGATCAGAGAGCGGGGAGACCCACACCCCACACAGCCGCTCCCCGCCCGTGCCGGGAAGTTACCTTCTCAGACCTGATTCTCGTAATGGCTCTGCCTCTTCTTTGACTTCAGCTCTTTCAGCCACTGAGGAGACATCTCTTCAGACCTGAGACCAAAAAAATACGCTTTACTCTTCAATGCCGATACCTCGTGGAAGCTGCTTCCCGCACCTGGGTGGCTCTCACCTGTCCTCCCTCTCGGCGCTGGAGGGCAGCACTCGGCTCCCAGGAGCTCCTGGCTGGAACTGGGGCTTCGGGGATTTCGACAGCTGAGCTGAACCTGTTTCACCGGGGCTCTCGGGCTCTTGCCTTCTCCGCAGCTGAGCCTGGGAAGAAGTTTATTAAAAAGCAGCTTTCAAATTTGCTTAGAGAACAAGCCGATCGCTTGAATCATTTATGAAGCAGCAGAAACCCGAGTCTGAAATTCATAAGAGACGGTACCAGCTCATAATGGAAACACAATCAACTTGAACTGTTTGGGAAACATCTAGGAAATACAGTCACTATCATGAGTTACGTCTCATTTCAACTCCCACTCCTTCCACCAAAGTATAAATTAATGGCCTGTGAGCGAAAGAGGTGCTTGTGACACGTCTATGCATTTTGTGCCCATCTAAGAGACCCGCATTTGTTGCCTGTGCACCGGGTATTGCACGACCGCCCCTTCTGGCCCTAGCGCTCGCTCCGGACAGCACCGGGTCCTTGCCACTCGGTCCTGGGTTG